GGTACTGCAGAAAATTCAAATCAAAGCAGAAAGCTGGTATTGTGACTGAAAACTTTTAGATTAAATGAAAGATGCTGTTAAGCTGTTTATAATACATAAATGGTGGTTTATTTCTCTGTACAGGGCCATGGAGAATAAAACAATATTCCTCTTTCATTGACGTCACTGAATGCAGTTCACATCAGGGCTGGCTGAGGCATGAAATTTCCTTGTGATAAAATTACATTGACAACAGTGAACATTAAATTCTGTTTTCCAAGAACAGATAAAACCGATAGGAGTTAAATTAGGAAACTGTAAATACTTCCCTTTTTATTTTATTTATGCTCTTTTATTAACAGCAACTAAAATAATAAGGGATAACAGTAACTCAATGAAGAAAACAAGGTATTTTCATTTCCTATGAAATCTGTAAACTCATCAAGTGTTAAAGCTTTGTGTTCTCTGCAGAACCATCTACTATCTCTAGCCACACAAATATGAAGCAGTTAGGAAGAAATGAAGGCAATTATAGAGTTTTGTAAAATGCAGTCCTCTGCTTCACATTTACTAGTCACTGAACTATTTGAAAGCTTTTTCTCCTTTTTTTAAGGTGAGAACATTTTCAATTATTATGTTATAAATAATATGAAAAGGCATTTGTTTTGATTCACCTGTTTCCTAATCAAATAGATATCATATGAAAAGTAGGAATTCTGCGCTTTGTATTTTCTATACTAATTTCCTGTTGTCATTTTGATTTTCAAATTTTGGTGCTTCATGTGGAGAAAAATTGAAAAGACTGTGACTTTAGCAATAAGATAAATAGGAATGGACACACAAAAGTATATAAAGTAAAGAATGATACAGAGAAAATATACTGAGAATTTTTATTTTCTCTGTCTGAAAACAGAAGAAGAAGAGGACATTCAGTGATACTGAAAGGCAGCAAATTTAGAACTGAGACAAGGAATTACTTTTCTACACAGTGCACATAGGATGTTACTTAGGCCAAGATCATAGCAAGATTTAAAGAGAAACTGGATTTTATATGCATGACAAAACTATCTAGAGTTCTAATAATGAATACATTAAAAAAAAAAAAAACTCTGGAAGAGATATAAAATTGAACACTTAAAGATTTCAACCAGTCTCTCTATTTCAGACATTATACCTAAAACATATTCCTTTCACTTTCCTCAGAGGCATTCAGGACTACTGTCAAGAAGAAAGTTACAGATGAACTGCAAGTCTTATCCAAAATATGCCCTCTATTCTTGCAAATGTTTCTACAAATAAGGAGAACAACTCCCCTAACATTCTGTTAAATAGCAGTTATCTTTGTTGAAGCTACAGATTAGAAATTCTATGCAGGATACCGTATGTCTTCTTATTGTGCATGTACACAAACACAATGATTTTATTCCAATATTTCTCGTAAGTGCTGAATATGAATCACTCTACATTCATGCTGTAAGGATGTTTTATGAAACAGCATCCCATTCTTGCTCACTGACAAGGAAGTCCTTGCAATTCGCAGTCTAAAAGCTCAATTCGTTCTGAAAGGCCAAGTCAAAAGAGGTTGACAAACAACTGTATGTACTCCAGCTTATACAAAGAAGTCGGAATCAAGATCAAAAGATCCTGAAGATCAAAATGGTTGTTCCTCCCTCCTTTCTCCCCAGTCTACAGAAGTTGAAGTCTCAGGACATACAGTTAAGTTTTCTGACCAAATAAAGCCTACCACATCTAGAGCCAGTGCACCAGTCCCTTGAGCTAATTCTCGTAGGTTGCACACAAAAGCCAGCTCAGACGTCTTCTGTGGTTCAACTACTAGCAGAGGCAAAAGACTCACAATGAGCAACACTTTCTATAAGCAGTGTGGCACTGACTTCACTGAGGATTGTGAAGACGGGACTAGGTCTGATATTATGACTGCAGGAATATTTTTTTATTTTTGTTGTACCTACAGCTACATGGTAACATTAACTTTGTGATCACCTTTGTTTTCACTTTTAAAAATCTACAATGCTCAGCATATGGCATGACTTTTTTTTTTAATCTGATAATAAATTTCGTACAGAGGAGAAGAAAAACTAGATATACAACTCCTTTTGTTAAATGTTTTCCACTGTTGACCTTTGCAGCACAAAATTGCTTCACATAGTTGTGAGCAGAGGATGCTAATGCTGACACAGCCCTTTCAGTTACATCACTAAAGCCGAGTAACCATGCACTCCACTTCTGGAAGGGTTTGCTGCTCTCATGTCAGAGAAAAGCTTAGAAGATAACGATCAGCCAAAAAGTTTAATGTTATTAATGGCATTCAAAACATTGTTATCATTGTTAAAAGAAAAACAGTAAAACATGCAGATCTGTTGAATCCTTTAATCCTTGTTTTCATTAAGAAACAATTTGAAAACAACAGGCTTTAGACTTTTCCTCATTTATTGAGCAGTCCCTTTTGTTCATGCTGTTTGTTGATTAGGCACCAGACAGACCTATTAACAACACCCAAACCAAATCATCTGAAATGTGAAAGTGTAGTAAAGGCAGATCTCAGTTATATACCACTACTTCCTGCAGTATCCTACACGAGGAGTACCAGGGTGCAGCTATAGCTGATAGGTATCTAGTTCAACATACGGGCAAAATCAATGAATTGAGAGGGAAAAAACGTGTTATCCTTTCAAGCACAAAGAGCACAGACTTACAGAGCAATTAAAAAGCTGAAAAAATGAGGTGTCTTGGCAGACTTAACTTGAACAAATGAATTTACATTTGGGATTACACAACCACATTGCATGCTTTTATGGAAACATTGTAGTTAACATAACAGCTGCCACATCACATGGGATTTATGTTGTCAAGAAACCCTTCTAAAAGTAGCTCAAATTAGCAAGATGCCCAAGAACATTTGGTACATAAACTGATCCATTTTCTCAGGTTTTAAAATGTATTTTGTAACAATTATGCCCTAATTTCCTTTGACTTAAAATTAATTGTTCTTAAAAAAAATGAAGGAGGTTAAAATGGTTGACTTCGGGATTGGGGCCAGCAGAAACTGATGAATATATGAGATGATGGGAAACAGAACAAACTGCTACAGAAACAATAGGAAATAAGATATAGTCTAAGGAGGCTGGTGAGAAGAAAGTCACTTGAGCTGGAAAGGAGGATATTTAGACGCTTTGGAACAGACCCTGCCTCACAATGCTGCTGATCGCTGTGAGGAAGTGATCTGATTACATCTCTCCTTTTCTTCCAATGTATGTGTAATTTTTAGTGAGGTTACCCTTGGCTGAAGAAATTGAAGAGTTCTAAGATACATCATCATTGGACATTTCTGGCTACGTTAAGACTTCTTAGAAGCAGGCACAACTCCATCACCTTCCATGTCTTCAGTTTTGCCAGAATTCATGCAAGAAAGAGAAATTAAAGACTGAGGAAAAATCCTTCAGTGATACAATAATTTCTGTCCCTATACCTAATGAAAACCCTAATGAAAGACCCACAGGACTTTGCCACGTGTGTCAAACCATACCCTATGCTTTTGGCACTGCTCAGGGTAAGTGAACTAACAACTGGAGACGAGAGGCCTTTTTTTCCAAATTTTTCATGTGCTCAAAAACTCGTCTTCAGGACAGCCAAAACTGCTTGTGAATTCTGCCTAAATTCATGGATTCGTTTCAAATGAGACAAGACTGACAAAACATTTCAGAAATATTGAAACAGTTGCTTACAGCATTTTCAAAATGAATTGATGTGAAGTTCCTGAGCTACTTAATTTGTTGCAGGTTTAATGACTAAAGGAAAGACTTAACTTTGTAATCAGTGATTTTCTTCTCCACTTTGTCTCCCATTCTCTTTGACCCTAATATTGTAGTAATCTTAACTGTAACCAGAATCAAACTTCTCATCTGCTTCTGGGGATCTGAAAACACATTATCTACTTATGTCTCATAATAAAGCCTTCTCCATTAGGGTATACTTGTGCTGGAGGAAGGTTATTCTCCGTCCTATTTGTTGATACTGTTCCACCTTGAATGTACTGTCCAAATATTTAGTAACTCCAGCAGTAAATGCATGTAAGAGTGACTCTTTTGCCTTGCTGTTGGACACCTCTCCTGCAAATCCAGGAACTATATTTTGTATTCAAACCTATAGCAAGGATTAAAATTTCAGACTTGCACCTCCTGGGCAAGCATACTGGGTGACTGGTTGTATGGTGGTTTACAGATGAAGTCCAGAAATGGAAGGTTTATTTTTGATTTTATGTATCTTAGAAATAAAAATATATTTCACATTCTGTCATTCCATTTTGGCCACCAGCTAAAAATTGCCAGTCTTTTCAAATGTTCCAGCAAAAGTATGAAATGAGGAAAACAAAGGATGATCTCCTTCACTGATTTCCTGTTCATTGTGCCTGTAGACAGAACGTTAATTCCTCACAGTCTTGAGTCTATAGAATAAGAATGAACATTCTTATAGGCAGTTCTGAAGGACAGGCAGCAGAACTGTAGAAGGTAAAGAGACACTTAGAAAGGACAACTTTTTGTATGTGATCTCAAAGCACATATATTTATGTGCCACACTTCTTTATATTCCCTCATATATACTTTTTTAAATAAAAAAGATGTTTCTTATTTTCTTACAACTGTGGTTTTGGGCCTCACCTTATTTTGCTTTTATATGTATTTATATCTATATTTGATTGTGTAGGACTGTCAATATTTTATTTTAAATCTTTATGGAAGTTTTAGCATTTCAGCAGATGGGCCTCGCTGATTATAGCATTCACTATTAGCATTTTTTTTTTATTTATGTCTTCTATGACTTATAATGTCTTTCTAATCTGACCTAAGTACATTTTACTGCACAAGCATGGAATCTCGTTTACTCCTGAGAATCCTGATGACTCATTAACAGGGATATATCCTTAGGTGTCATTAATGTAGTTCTTACTCTAATTTGTAGACAATTAGATAAGTGTCTTTTTACTTCTCCTCCTTCCTTTACAGCACATGCAGTTTCACAGGGTGCCTGGAATGATTACAGCAGATAGGTATTTTAAATTATTTTTCCTTTCTTTGGACTCAGTCTTTTTTATGTGCATCTATTCTCCCTTTCATTTATTTTTTTTCCCTTTTAATTGTACATGGCTATTTTTAAAGTGGGTAATCATTTCTCACTGTGGTGCCTCTAACTACTTTAGAAGGCTTTCTCTAATTCCTCTAATACTCAGAGAATCACAAACACTGCAGGATCCAGTAAGGTTTTAACAGTACAGCGAGTCTACTTATAGGAATAGCTCAGAAACAATGCATTTTCTGTGCTCCAAATAAAAATATGCATACCACTCCACTATCCCTGATTTTGAGAGCTGTTTCTGATTACTGATTGAAAATTCCCTCTGTTCTTCATTAAAGACTGAGATTCTTTTAAAATGCTTATTTACGGTGGCAGTCCTAAGGGGCAGGCTATGTATTTAACTGCCTACAGCTTCAAATCTCTTTCAACATGAGGCCAACTCTGTGTTAGGTAACTTGTTGGGTGAGTGGTGCCACATTCCTGCTCTGCCTATGGGATAAAGCAGCCGCAGTACAACATGGCTCATTTGTTCTTGGACTATCATTAGCGTTAATGAGCTTTACATGTATACATCAAGGACAGCAGAAGAGAATCATAGCTTCTTAATGTTTTGTTTTCAGGGGTTCTATCTCTGGCTTAGGATTGTTCTTTCTGAGCCAAATCCTGCATGCCTGTGAAAAGCTTGAGTAAACAGGCTATGTGCAGGGGATATGTGATGGACCGAGAGATGCAAAATACTCCCCCTCCCCCACAATCAAATGTGTCACTGCAGCTTATGTGATACGGCAGCAGTTCCCTCCTGGGGAGGGGGCATCTAATAATTTTTTCCTTGACGTTGTCCCTTTGTTAGACTCAGCCCCCTCCTGCAACCCCCATAAATCTGCTGTGAAGACATATGCCATTGAGTATGGTGAATGAGCAGCAGGGATCTCCCTTCCTGACCTTTCCTTTTCATGATGCCTCCCTCCCCAACTAGCTGAACCATTGTATTTAGGACCCTCTGCCCTCACAGGGAAGGGTATGATTGTTTTGGAAGGAGAAAGCAAAAACCAATGCATAAATAAGAGAGATTCACTGAGAAGGCTATCTAATAAACAGGTAGGTGAAAAGATAAAACACTAGGGTGCAGTATCTAAAGTAACTGGCATTTTTTCATAGCATGACTTGCAAAGAACACACAGTTAGAAAAACAGTCCACATACTGAATTCTGCCCTGCCAAGGATAAATTCATGTCCTGTGATCCTGACCAGACCACTTTACCTTTCTATGTCCCTTTTTGTCCTCACTGAAAACAGAACAAAATCAATTCCTAGTGCCATTAGCAGAAGATATCAAAGCACCTTCAAAAGCTAATAAATATAAAGCTCAGCTTCTAACTTCCAAATGCAGACTAGCTCTCCGTCCAAAGGGTCACTCAGACCCTGCTCAGACCCAAAAGGTATGCTCTTTCCAGAGCTCTATGACATTCAAGTGCAGTGTGATCACTTCTGCATTTATTTCAAGCCCCCTTTTTGAAAGTACAATGAAGTCACTCCTCCTCTTTCTTTGTGAACATGGTGGGACGAGCCCTGGAGGTCTATCACCTCCAGGTCTGCAGCTAGCCCAGTGAATGTCTTTTTCCCTGTGAACCTGCAATACCAGAGGTACTTTTTGCCACTTAAACTCACAATCAAAACAAAAAATCTTTTATCACCTATAAGGAGAATTACAGGAGCTTGAGAATGTCTTGCCAGAAATTTAAAGAGGGGTATATATAATAAGCAAGGAGATAGGAGCTTGGGTAAACTATTTGAGCAAGTGCATGGAATAGATGGGACAGAGCAGGGATAACAAATTCAGTAGCTGGCAGGCATTGCTCATTTGGTGGAGGTCAAAACCATAGATAAATTCAACCATCTCCACAGTGTCTGGATGCCTTCAGTGCACCCATTTCTAGTAGTTTGACCTGCTTGGTGCCTGGAAGATCTAACAAAGAAATGGAGGAGGGTTGAATCTATAAATGCTTCAGGCCTGATTGTGCTGTCATAAGGAATCGACCCTAAAATAAAATGATTTTCCATCCTACTTATATTTTAGCACATTGAAATGGTTTCTTTTCTAGTTGCAGTTTTTGCCATAGACCTATTAGAGCTGTTTCGGTAAAACTGATAGACTGGTTATGTGTACACCAGCTATGAAAGAACTGATGTGATGCTAGTGATGCTGTCAGGCTTGCAGTAGTCACCCGGAAAGGTAAGTCCCATTTTGTAGGCTTGGGGTTGCCGCTATAGGACGTATCTGTTCATTTTGAAGCTATTAAGTTTTGGGACACAAAAGGCCAAGTTTCAAATTCTTTTTCTGTCTGGTTCAGATTAACCATTTGAATACACATATCTGAAACATCAAGAGCCCTGTCCATCAGGTGGAAGGAAGGGTTGCTTTCAACCTCTTTCACAGGAGAAATCCTGCTTTTATAAATAATTAAGCATGCAGTGTATCAAGGACTTAAAGAAGTATCTCTTACATCATCATCCTGCATCAAGCTATAGCCTCAGTTAGATCCTCTCCCATTTTCAGTTCCTTATGTAGGACCATTTCCAGTTTGTAGAAATAGTTTACTGGGGCAGAGAAAAACTAACTGCACAGCCCAAGACATTAAGGATTAATGGAAGAACCACATTCAAGCTGTGCTCTAAATCTTGCAGAACAAAATCTTAAGTAGAGATTCCCCAAATCCTGTGTGAGTATCTGCCTGCGGACCATTGACTTTCTGGCTTTGAGCAGAAATTCAGCTGGAGATCCAAAAATCCCTTCAGAACACTACAATAGATGGATCTGGCACCTTCCTGCAAAAGTGACAACTTTGACAAGTCAGCATATTCCCTGAAAAAAAAAAAAACATGTTGACAAAAAATTCTTGATCGCCTTAATTGGAAACTCTGGCCTGGGCTGTGAATCTCTCCTCCGGTATGCAATTATAATGGGTAGCACTCAACACAAAATCTAAACCAAAACTGAAAACACTCTGTGTCTTCTCAAGTTCTGCTTCTTGAATTAAATTATTAGAGCCTGCTGTAAAACAATAATGATTTCTACTGTCAGAAACAATGTTTCAAACAGATGTGAACCACACAAAGCATATGTGAAAAACGTGTGATCCACACACTAAGGTCGCAGGAGCCATTTAGACGCCACATGTAAAATATGTGAAACACGTGTGGAGGCATGATGCAAATTCCCATTTTGTTTGTCCTTTGGCAAATATCAAGAGCTTGGGCTAAAAGAACTAAATCTGTCTGAGGCAAACTTTGTGCCTGTGAAACTTTCAATATTTATAAAAGATTAACTTTTTTTAAAAAATTCCTACAGGGCAGACTTCTTAACCCCTCAAATTATCCATTGCTAATGCTGCCTGATACGTCCTTAGTGACGGAAAATTCCTGTTACCCTCTTTCTTAATACCTACCAAAGCAAAAGGTTAACAGCTCTCTGCTGTCTTCTGTTACACAGCTAATCCTTGGGTAATAATGCTGTTCTTTACCCAGTGGGCTTGCCCTGCTTTAACTGAGCATGTGACTGCATAACTCAGGGCACTAGCAAAATCTCACTGAAGGGAATCCACAGCATTACAACTTCTTCACAGATTATGCTTAGTTAGTGATGATGCCGATGCTGAGGATTTGGCTCTGGGTGCATTTCTTCTCACCTAAATTCAGCCGTTTAAGAGCTAGGCCTAAGCCAGCTGTCTAGATCTCCTTGCCGTCAGTGAAGAGAGAGGCATTTCCAAACTCCACTTCATGCAGGACAAAATGAACCCCCACTGGAGATGTTCCACTGTAAAAGGAGGCTAAACAGCTAATTCAGAGCAGAAGCTTAACTTCTAGATGGCTAAAGTTAGACTGCAAGAACTGCCAGGTGTATGTCGCACACGAGGACTCCTGTCCATAAACCGACAGCACCGTCTCCTTGGCAGAAGGCCAGAGCCTGTGGCTTTATTGCGAAGTGGAGACCCCTGCAGAACTGTGCAAGTGTCCCCACTGGGCAGGAGCTGCTCGCAGCGCCTTCAGAAGGAATTTCCTGATGCTTCCCCCCCTCCATATCTATGCTCAGTGAAAGGATTACCTTGCCACTAGGCTTGGAGCAATCAGCCCGCAAAGAGAGCTCTGTCTGGAGTAACTTTGGGCTTTTCATACTCATTCTCTCTTCTTTCTGTCCTTAGCAAGCCTATTCTGTGGGAAATTGAAAGGTCTCCACCCTCCTCATCTTTTCAGCCACCTTTTCATCGCCTCAGCTGCACCACATGTGAGCTTGATAAAGCCAGAATTCATGTAGCTGAGAAAAGTAGGCTCTGTCTTGAAATTCCTCTTTATGCAATGACCCCAGTGGAACGCTTCATGAGAATAAAGGTTTTTACATGGGAGAAAGTGGTACAGATTCTGATCCCTTTTTTCACTGCCACTTTTTAAATGATCTGAAAGGTAACTATAGCAGAAAAATACTAACATATCTGTTCCTGTGCTAACTGAAGACAATGATTAATTCCCCTTTGACTTTAACAAAAGCAAGATAAAAACTTTAATGGAAAAATCCAACCTAATAATAAAGAATTTAGATTTAAGAATAACATTGATTTCATATAGACACACATGCACAGACTACTATATATCTCTTTCAGTTGCACATCTTATAATGCTATACTTGGAAAAAAACTGTTTATGAAATATTCATGGCAAAACAAATAACATCCATAAAAAATCAATTATGAAGTCAATTTGATTTTTATAATTTTTAATACACATATCTGAGGTGCAGAGAGAAAAAATAACTAAGCCCTCAGCAGACCATTACAACCTAGATAAGGATTTACAGTACAAGATACAGCACCCACAATGCTTGAAGGATGATGTCATGTCTTAATTATGTTAGCATTTAGTGGATATACATCAGTTCCACATCTTCAGATATTCAAAATTTACTGTGCCCTTTCTCTGACC